AAAGGTGATCATGCGGATCAGAATTCCCATCGAATGCTCGCATATCAGGCATTCTAAACCTTGACAGGAGAGGAGCAGCTAACACTGCTAGAGAAAAAGGAGATGCCTCAGCGACCTGCCTACGCTCATTTTGCTGATCTCTAAACTGATCCAGAGCTCGTTGTAACTCTTCAATCTGAGGCAGTGGAGCTACCTGATGATCATTTTCCGCAACGTGGGTTTGACCCTCACGATTATAGTTGAGGAAAGCCCACTGATCGGACTCTTCCTCGCCTCAACCGGAGGCTCCGGCATATCTTAACACATGTTGACTGGACCCGTGTGAGGCAATGAATGGTTCGGGGAGTTATTTCGACGTCCGTGATGGTTAGAACCGACCTACAAATGCTAGGAGTTTCTCTGCCTTGCACTCTTGTGGGGGTGCCCATACGATATGACGTGGGACGGTTCATGATGTGACATATCGCCAAGTCACAAATCCACAAGTATTCTACTTGCTTCACGATCAGTATTTGCTGGTCCCTTAGAGCCCTTCGGCCCATTATCTGCCACTTGCTTTCCCTCGCCTTTACACACTGTAGTGCACGCGACATGGGCCTTCGCCCGTTTCAATGCTTTAGCGCGACCTACAAGCTTTTTTGGCAGTAGCACCACCTTGTTGGACTCGGGTGGTATAACCTGATCCAAACGGTTTACCGAACCTTCGGTAAACCGTTTGGAGAGTATTATTGAACCTCTCCAAGTAATCCATCATAGTTGGGTCGAGCTATGAGCTCGAAGGAATGTCTGTCATGGTACTATGCTGAATCAAAGGCACTTCGAGAGAAGTGTCATCCTATACCTGGGGGACCTCTTCGTTGCTAGGGCTAGCTCGCTCGGTTTTGAAACCACAGGCCATTTGCTAAGGAACATAATCGATTGATCAAAGATTTCTGATGAAGAGCGGATACTAAATCAAGCCCTCATTCTAGCGACTAACTGTTGATGCTTGATTTTGGATATCAACTATTCGCATGTGCAAAGTGCTAAGCGGACTTAGAAATTACACGTGAATGGTAAATGAAATAAATAAATGGGAGATGATTTTTAAAGTGGTTCGGATGCTCAAAGCAAATCCTACATCCACTGTCTTTTTTATAAATAAAGGATTACAATCAGGTCGCAAATAGTGATAAGAGAAATAGAAATACAGAGAGGCAGAGTGAGTGTTTTTGTTATTAGAATCAGAATCCTAAAAACGAGAAGGGAGCTCTCTATTTATAGTAAGAGGTTTCTAGGTAATGATTATGGGTCTGCTAGCGGGCAGGTGTCGTATAGCTCCTACCATGCTTCCCATTGGCTGGTTGCACGGAAGATATCCTTAAATTGCGCAGGGCTTGGGTAGGTGGGTGACTCCCAGCCACTCACTAGCTAGATCTTTACCTGCCAAATTGATGACAGCCTTAATCCTTTTGTCCTTGGACGGCGTGGTAGCGCCTGGCCGACATTATCCCTTCCTGAACTATGATTGGTGCTAGCTAACGTAAATCTGTGTCAGTCCTGATTTTTAGGCATAACAATATTTTATAGTTATCTTTTCAAGTTTATCGAGTGAAACTGATGTTTTATTTTAATGATATTTGTCAATTTAATTTATTTTTCTCAAGGTTGTAGTCGTTATGTTTTATGTTTCAATTATATTGTTCAAAGTTTCATCACAATAATTTTCTGTGTTACTGATTCTTGACTGATATGTTGGAACTTGGAAGGGCTTCTTCTGTGATCATATTTCCAATTATAGCAACCAAGTAATTATCAGGAATTTCCTTTCCTCTCTCTCTCTCTCTCTCTCTCTCTCAATTCTTTAACTTGTTTTACAAATCCGTCCGACGCCGAATCCGGGAGAAGATCTCCAGGCTGCCATGATTTTTCAACTAGTTTAGTAGAGGCAAAATGCTATGTCTTGCCTAACCCTCTATTCATTTAAATAATTCAACCTCTGCCGGGGCCATGGATTTGGAACAAGACAGCCTCACTGATGTATTTGATATACAATAAACCTTGTAAGGTATAGCTAATCAGATTCAACGGGTTCTTGTCTAATATATANTTAGATAAGGTTTAATTTAAAATTTTAAATTAATTATATCATTGTTTTTATCCGACTCATGGTTCATCTTTTGGGAGATAAGATTATGGTTTCCGGATATATAATATATCTAAGCCTCACTTCTTTTAAATTTGGAAGCACTGTTCTTTTAATTTCAAAGTTTTTGGATAAGATTATAGTAACCTAATTTAGTAGAGGCAAAATGCTATCTCTTTCCTAGTTTTCTATTGATTTGAATAATTCAACCTTTTCCGAAGCTATGGATTTGGAATGTGACAGCTTCTTCAGATTTGCCTTTCTATTGAATTTGATATCGAATAAGTATAAAATAATTTACCAACTTGTATAAACTTTGAAGGATTAATTAATTTCTTTGTTTAAATAAAAAACTCTGTTAGGAGAGAATTCTGATCTTTTTTCTTTTTTTCTTTTTTTGTAATATAAATGACTTTTTATCATAAGTCATCTTTCATTTGATAGCTATTATTATTATTTTTACATAAGAACAAAAATCAATAAACTTAGTTTCACTTCGTGAAACATTGTTAAATTAATTAAATTTATTATGCAACACTCCATTAATATTGGTTTTTAGGTATGTCCTACTTATTATTATTTATATAAATGATATTATGTTCTTTGTTAAACTATAAAGCTGTATTTAGTACAACACCCATAAGCATTTTGTTAAAAATAAATTTTAATATAGTCCAAACCAACATAAAATCTTGATTACGCCCCTGAATAATACGTAAAAACATTTTTTTTTAAATGAAAATAATAATAATAATAATAATAATAATAATAGAGATGAACTCACATTAAACCAGAATTGGGGTGGGTGGAAGCCATGAAAAACTTGGAGAAGCTGTGACTAGTTGTTTCCATTTTAGAGAAAGTTCAACTGATGAAGGAATTGATTGAAAGCTACACAAGATCATGATGATAATTAAGCCTTCAAGTTTATAAATAACATTGTCCGATTCCAGCATTGTATTATTTTTTCTTTTTTAAGACAGCAATATTTATTACATGACCAAACTTTATGAACAATTAATACCCTTTGAAAATCGAAGGGAGAGCAGATCTGATTATTTATTATTATCAACTGCGTTATCATGACAGCTGTTAGGGGTGTGTTTTTTGGTGGCCAATTCAGGTCAAATAAGTTATAAATGTAATAGGTGGTTACTTGATAAGAATCGACCACAATAGGTGATCATTTGATGAGAATCAAACACAAGACCTATGGATAGGGGTGAATTCAGCCTAGTTTTTGCCCACCCTCAATTTTTTTTTTTAAATATAATATATATAATTTTTGGATTTTAGCCCACCCTAACAAAAATATAAATAGATAAAAATATTAATGTTCAATTAGTTTTTATTTTGGCTCACTCTAAGAGAAATTTTTAGATCTACTACTACTTATGGGAATCTAAAATCTTGTCATCCGACCACAACCAAGTGGTTAGCTTGGGGTGCGTTAACCCAAGCTAAACCCAAAAACCCAAACTAAACCAAGTGGTTTAATTCGAGTTTTAAGATACTAAAATGCAAAATTGAACTAAATTGGAGTGAATTAAAATTTAAGCGAATTGGTTTTTGATTTACTTTTCAACTCCAAAAACCTGAGCCAAATTGTATTAAGTATTTATTAAATAATATGATTATAACATGCACGAAGGAGCATCAAAGGGAGATAATAATTAATTAATAAGAATTAATTAACAATATGGATATCAATGGATATAAATATCTATATAATATTTTAGCAAGGTGGCTAAGCTTTTAATTTTAATTTGGATATGATAAACATATATTGAGACTTGACAAGTTAATTTATGGATAAAAATATTAATGATATTATTGGAAAGAGTAATTTAATATTCAACCAATAAGATATAAATAATCACTCAATTAAAAAAATGATAATAAGGATTTTATTAATTATTTCATTAAATTTGTTCACTAAAACAATATTTCAAACCTACCCAATCACTAAAACAATAAAAAGATCCTTAAAATGTTCATAAAAATATATATTTTTTATCCAACAAAATTAAAATAATATGTGTTTAAATCAGAGAAAATTAATTCTATATTATAATACTTTTTAATGATATAATATTTAAAAAATAATAATACAAAAGTTGCAAATAATAAAATTAAGAAAATAAAATAAAATATGTTAAACAAAATAAACATAAATTATAAAAGATGCAATTTCCTACTTTACCCGATTAGGCTAACAACAATTACCTTATGGATGAAGATGTCATGACTATACTCTAACATTTTATTTTAATTTGGGATTGTAATATTATTTATTTAAGCCTCTGGGTCTAAACTTACTTATACTAAAGCTAAGATCATTGTGTATAGCAATTCTCTGACTGGAAACTAAACCAGTTAACTAGTTAACAAAAACTGGTTAACTGTTAACTAGTTAACTGTTTTTGAGCCGATTTTCTCTTTTAACTTATTTTTTATTTTGATATTTTCCTAATTTAACTTATTTTTTTATTTTGAGAGGGAAGAGAAAAGTGAAAATCGGTGAGGATTGAGAAGAAATGTGTGTTTGTGTGAAAAAACAAAAAGAGAATAAATGTGCAAAGGGTGAAGAGTAAAGAGAAAATGATTTGCAGATTTAGGGTTTTTTTAATTTTAAAGTGAAAACCGATTTTATAAATCAGTTCCGATTAACTGGCTTTTAAATTTCTTTAAACCGGTAATTGAACCGAATTTCTGGTTTATGTATTAGTTTCCTTGAACTGAAGCCAAACTAATTTGGTTTGGTTTTTGTATTTTTTTGGACACCCTTAATCATAGCAATATAAATCATAATTCATATGAAGTCAAATACAGCAGAAGTGCTGATCTAAATTACATTCATCTAAAGCCAAAAATAGCTGAAGTGCCGTCAAATGCTTATTTTCTTGTACTTCCCTAATTTAGTAATTTTAATCAACTTCATCAACTCTTAATTTAGTTAAACTTCTCTGTCAAAAACCCAGCTGAATGAAATTGCAGGTGCTTGTGTAGCCCTAGCTAGAGCTCTCTCTTCCATTTTTCTCAGCCTTTCTGGTAATCCACAGACATAATCCTGAGCAATTTTTCCGTCACTTTTAAGCCCCTCAAGTTTCTCGATATTCCAAATACCCACAAAATGTTCCAAAACATTAATATAATCTGTGGTTGTGTACACTCCAATTCGCATTAAAACATTCGAAACATGATCGAACAACTGCTCATCTTTACCATCGTACATTGAATGGCCAGGCATGATCATTCTAATTCTCAACATGTCGGCAAACGCCACCATTGCTTCGGTAGGATCAAGCTCGAACAGCTTCTTGACAATCCTGCTATAAGCAGTTTCATGGCGCTTCTCATCGGAAGCGATTGTGCCACAGATTTGAGCTAGCTTTGAGTCTCCATGTTGCAGGGCAAGTTTGGCTGTGTTGCCGTGAGCTATAAATGTTGCTCTTTCTTGTACTGATGTATAAACAGAGAAATGATAAGGGTTGTCTCCAAAGCCAAAATCCTGTCAGAAAAAATAGGAAAAATAAAATTGCAAATTTACATAGTAACAAAGATAATTTTGATCTAATTTTGTAAAGGTGATAGGATCCCATTGAAAATTTCCAAATACTGATGTCTTAAAATTTTTAAAATCTAGACAGAGGTTTTACAAGAGAAAATGACATATTTATCAAACAGTACTATATCTTCATTTCTTTTCCCTTTTTATTAATACAATTTTTCTATTATTAGAAATTATGATTGTTTAATATATACTCAAATAATTTACAGCCCCCTGAAAAAAAAATTCTAGTTTCACCCTTGAACGGTGACAGGATCCCATCGAAAATTTTATAATGCTGACGTCCTGCAATTTTTAAAACCCACATGAAGTTTATACCAAAGAAAAAGACGCATTTTTTTGCATGGATCTTACCGTTCCTGAAGCAATCATATACTGAATAGTCTTCTCCACTTGTTTGATGTCAATTCTTCCTGAAAGATAGAGATACTTATTGAGAAGATCTCCATGGCGATTCTCTTCAGCACTCCAACCTCTACTCCAAATTGCCCATGGAGTGTCTTCTCTGCCGGTTTCATCACGATAAATTTCTGTGCTACTTACTCTTGACTGATACATTGGAAGGGCTTCTTCTGTGATCATATTGCCAACTATAGCAACCAAATAATCGTCAGGAATTTCCTTTTCTCTCTCCCTCAATTCTTTCACTTGTTCTACGAATCCGTCCGACGCCGAATCCGGTAGAAGATCTGCAGGCTGCCAGGATTTTTCAACTGGTTTTAGTAGAGGCAAAATGCTATCTCTTGCCCAACCCTCTGTGGATTTGAATAATTCAACCTTTTCTGGGGCCATGGATTTGGCACAGTACGGCTTCTTCATATCTTTTGTCTCTCTGAATTATTTGAAATGAAGAAACGAGAAAATTAGTCACCAACTTGTATATATAAACTTTGAAGGATTGATTAATTTCTTTATTCAATTAAAAACTCATGCTAGCAGAGAATCCTGCTCCTTTCTAGTCACGTTATCTTAATAAATGATAATATCAAGGGCCGAAGGGCGTAACTATAAGAGGGTTTGCCCGGGCTGTAGCTTGAGTGGCCCTTCAAAAGAATTGAAAACCTCTTTTTTCTTGTTCCTTTTTTCAAAAACAGGCATTATATTCACCATGTGAAATTAATATGTTCTTTATTAATCAAGAAAATTGTAGTTAGTATTATTCATAAGTATACTGTTAAAAATAAAATTTAACTAAGCATAGGCTAACCAAAAATCATGGCCACGCCCCTGAATAATACATGAAAATGATTAAAAAAAAAGTTGGAAAAAAATACAGATGAACTCACTTAGAACCAGAATTGAGGTGGGTGGAAGGCATGAAAAACTTGGAGAAGCTGCAAGGAGTATTTGCCATTTTTGGGAATGTTGCAAGTACTGAAGGAATTGATTGGAAGCTACACATGATCATGATGGTAAGACTTCAAGTTTATATGGAAAATAATGTGATTGACACAAGTTTTTCTTTGCTCTCTTCTCTATTTATAACTAGATTATATTACTGTAAATGTTTTAAGTTACATACCCAGTAATGTTACTGGGGCTTCTATAAGGGATAACCCTTATGTAACCTTACATAAATGGTCCCACCGACCCGATAACTGAGTTGTTTTCGGTTGTTATTTTGATGAGCACCTCTGGATTAAATTTATTTTCCAAGTTGATCTATTTTAGTAATCATTGATTTCATTTTATTTTTAAGTAGAACTCAGATCAAAAGAAATTCTTGCTCTTTTTGTATATAATGACGTCTTTATTTGTAAATAAAAAATCTTGCTCAACTTTTATTTTGTTTTAATTGATTATATGTATTGCAGTTTCTTAGAGAGAAGAAATTCAAACAGACGATTCCTCAAGTGAAGGTTGAAGATGGTGAAGAGATCAGTTATGAAATTGCGACAGCCGCGTTGAAGAGGGCAGTCAGATTGTTTACAGCTCATAGTGCAAAGAATTTAATCGGATGCTTGTTCTTAATGTTAAAATTCTTCTCGTAGAAAAATAATTTAATAGATAACATGGTCTAGTCCCATCATTTGGTTATTTTGATCAACATTTTGAAGACAGTAATATTTATTATATAAACCAAACTCTTGTCAGCTATTAAGACCTTTCACATAACAATATCAAGTACTATTTATAAGAAGAAAATATCTTTGTTATTAATTTCGTTCAACTATATTATGGTAACAAGAGTTTCATCTCTGGCCTTAAAAAAAAAATCGAAGTTAACTAGGTAGAACATAATTGTTTATAAATAACAAATGTTATATTTATAGTTTTGAGGTTTATAAACAAGAACGAACTTGTATAAGAACTTTTTCTTTTTTTTCATGTTTCTGATACTTCAACGTTGAACTAGAAAAATGAAATATGTTTTGTATTATCTCATTATAATTTAGTTTTTAGAATCAATGATACGATGAAACAAGTAATCTGTGAGATGAGTGGAATGGTTTACAAACTTTGGTTTTAAATGATTGCCAATGTGCTTACTGAAACGTTATAGAAAGTATTTAGAATCAAAAGAAACTTAAGACACACACAAATAACGATAAGTGTAAGGAGAAAGAACACCCGTGATTTATCCTAGTTTAGCCAAATTTGGGCTATGTCTAATAGAGTTAATATTATTGCAATATTTCATCACCTCTCTCATTGCAATTAATATATTTGTTATGAATTGTTATATCCCTCATACAAGAGAATAATATATTTATATACTATGTTAATTAAGAGAAACCTGACACTATTATGATTCTTATTTCTAAAACAAACCCTATTAGAAGTTCTAATTCATATCATTGAATATGCAAAGACTTATGCTCAATAAGGAGACACATATATAGCTTATCATGTTAAAGCTTCATTTGAATTTGTTTTCATCTTGCATCTTATGAAAGACATTATGACAGTCACTAATTTGCATTTGTTAAGGTTTGCAATATAAATCTCAAAATATTCTAAACGTCATCTAAAAATTGAGAGATGATGAATGTAATAGCTTGTTTAATAAGGTAAAGTCATTTTGTGAGGCACTAACATAGATATCCTAAACATGAGTGCTCCTTATGTTGCAAGAGGAGGTCAAGCCATCGTCAAGAAGAAAAAATATACAAAATTAAATAGTACTATGAACCGACCACCTATTAATTAAAATCCTAGTTCCATCATGTTACGCCTAAAAAGGTAGGGCTGATGTGGAGCCTCGTTAGTAGGGCCAGTCAGAGCTTAGAAAGGTTCTGTGCCGCCCAAGTGCAGCCACATCGCGCAATGGCGCAAGTGGCATGGTTCCTGTCAGCGCAGTAGGTAAGCGCCAGGCTTACGAGCGGTTGGGAATTACCCCTGTGTCCAAACCCTGCACAAGTCGAGGAAATCCCTCGGGCAGGTAACCAATTGGACACAAAAAAGGATTTGCACAGCACCTACCCACTTGCAGATTTTGTAATCACTACCTTGAACTCTCCCACTATAAATAGAAGTTTTCCCTCTCATTTGAAGGATTGGCTAATTTTACTCTGAAATAGCTTACTCTCTCTCTCTCTCTCTCTCTTTGAATTCTCTTTAAACTGTAACTTAGCTCACTAAACGCGACCTGACTTTATTCTCTTATTAATACAATAGCAGTGGACGTAGGATTCACTCTTTCAGCATTCGAACCACTTTAAATATTGCTTCTCATCCATTATTTAATTTGATATTCCCATATCACGTGTGACTTCTAAGTCCGCTTAGTATTTTACACATGCAAGTAGTTGGTGTCAAAATCAAGCGTCAATAGTCTGGCGCTAGAAGAGGGCTTGATTTAGTATCTTCTCTTCATCAGAAAATCTCTGACTAATCAGTCCCACCACAGCAAATGGCTCGCGGTTTCGAATCTGAACGAACCAATTATGGCAAGGAAGAGATCCCCTAGGTACAGGAGGACACTTCTCCCGAAGTGCCGCCAGTTCAACAGAATATCATGGAGGGTAATCCTTCAAGCTCGTGGCTCGATCCAACCGTCATGAGTTACCTGGAGAGGTTCAATAATACTCTCCAAACGGTCAGCCAAAGGCTAGATCGATTGGATAGGGTCATGCCACCTGAATCCAATGAGGCGGTGCCACCACCAAAAACGTCTGCAGGTCGCACGAAAGCGCAGAAAAGGGTGAAAAAATATCTCGCGCGCACTACAGCGTGTCAGAGAAAGGAAAAGCAAGTGGTGCAAAATGGACCAAAGGGCTTCAAGGAACCAGCGAACACCGATCACGGCCCGGGTAGAATACCCTTGGCATTGCGACTAGGCGATATGTTGCAGTCCCACGCCACGTTGCATGGGCAATCCCATAAACATGCAAGGCAGGGAGAATCTCAATATCGTCAAAATGACGACTTTGATCATCGTCGTGCAGGGATTCCCGTCATCCACGGGTTGGTTCATACCACTGCAGAGATTGGGAAGACTCCCTGAATCACTCAATGCCATCACACGACTCCAGCTAGCGTGTCTCAAGGTTTGTCGAAGCTTCTAGCCAAGGTGAGGAAAAATCCAATTTGCGATCTTTCCTCAATCGCAACCGTGAGCGTCGAACCCACGTTGCTAAAAGTGATCCCCAGGTAGCTCCACTGCCTCGGATTGAGGAACTACAGCGAGCTCTGGATCAGCTCAAGGCTCAGCAGAATGAGCAGGGGAAGGTCACAGAGGCGTCTCCCTTTTCTCCAGTAGTGTTAGCAGCCCTTCTCCCATCAAGATTCAAAATGCTCGACATGCGAGCATTCGATAGGAACTCTGATCTGCATGATCATTTATACAAGTTCAAGGACCTCATGGAACTCCACCAAGTCTCTGACTTGGCAAAATGTCGTTGCTTGGTAGTAACTCTAACTGCCCATGCCAAGCGCTAGTTCAGGTCGCTTCCAGCAGGATTAGTCAGCTCTTGGTCCCAAATGACCTCAACATTTCTAAGGCACTTCTAGGCGAACAGGAAGTTCTCAATATCGCTAAGCTATCTGAGCAATATACAGCAGGAAATGGATGAATCTCTCCAATCTTATATAAACAGGTTCTACAAGGAACTCCACAAAATGGCTCATACTCCTGAAGAGTTCGTTGAAACTCTCATAATTGCGGGAGTTCGCCCGCAGACAGATTTTTGAAAGTAGCTGCAATCCGAGGATAATGTTTCCCCCACTCGCTTCTACAACCTTATTGAAAAATACCTCCGCATTGAAAATTTTGTGGCCGCTCTTAATCGCCACGACCTCAGTCCTTCGAGCAATGCTCCCGACCGGGGCAAGAATATGAGGGTTGATCGCAGATGAGCTAATGACGATCAGCAGAAATGAAAGAAGCAGTGGTACGAGCTCAAGAAATCTTATGCCCTAATTCCTCATCGCGATCGCGACAAGAGTCAATACACTCCTCTGAATGCCTCAGTATCGGCTCTTCTGGATAAATTAGGAGAGGTCAGTTTGCTCGGAGAGCCCGAGCCTATGAAGAATCCCCCCTCAGCCAGAAATAATAAAAAGTATTGTCGCTATCATCAGGATAATGGGCATCACACCGATGAGTGTCGAGCTTTCAAGTAGGCAATTGAGGACCTCATTAAGCAGGGGCACTTCAAAGAGTATATCGATAGAAAAATCAAGAGGAACCAAGGAAGAAGCATCGTGGTCGCAAAGGCCACTACTACGTGGAGATCATCTTTGGAGGACCATATCTCGCGGGAAATTTTTTAGGTCCCAGGAAAGGTATGCTCGGGAAGCCCTTCATGACCCCATAAGTGTAATGAGTACAATGTTGCGACCTGCTAAGGTTCGCAAAGAGAAGGAAATCACCTTCTCCAAGAAAGATGTGGTGCAATTGCATCATCCCTATAGGATGCTCCCGTCATCGCGCCTGAAATAGGTCGGTGCGAGGTCCACAGGATGTTAGTGGACAATGGAAGCGCCATGAATATCTTATTTCAGCGAGCCTTCGAGAAGATGAAACTGGACGAGGCAGATTTGAAGCCTGCCTCTATCCCTTTTTATGGTTTCATCGGTTATCATTTGATTCCCAAAGGGACGATCTTACTCCCGGTCACGTTGGGAGAAACCGACGAGATGACCAAAATGACTAAATTTTTGGTAGTAAACTGTCTATCTATCTTCAATGGCATTTTGGGATGACCTCTATTACGAACCTTCAAGGCAGTCACCTCAATCTACCATCTAAAGATGAAGTTCCCCACCTCTATGGGGATAGGGGAAGTAAGCAGATCTCAATGCGCATCTCGCAACTGCTATGTAAGAGCAGTGCAGATAACGTTAAAGGGAAAAGGAATACCAGTTGGCATCCTTGAGCAGGCATGGCGATCAGCAGGATCGAGCCACAACCTAGCCTGGTTGAGGATAACATGGATCTTCGCATCTAGGAATGCCCTCACAGTGGACCGGTCAAGGACCTATCCTAG